ATAAAGACCAGAAGAGGTAAGCGGCCAGCTCTGGAGCACAGATATAAAACTGCTTTATTGTGCAGCCCCATGAATTGTGAGAAATGAGATATTACACTGCTTCTTGTCTCAGTCTTGCAGGCTGAGGACCTACTAAGCAGGAAACAATGACAAAATAATGACAAAATGAAATGAATCCAAGTCGTGTTTGTAAGAGGAGAAAGGGTTACACAACCTCACAGAGGAGCAGTCAGCCAAAAAAGAGCCTTCCGAAATAAACAGGAACTTTTCACAAGAAGGCAGCAGGCACATTCCTGCAGACATGGAGCATTACAAGATATCTGCAAAGAGTACGACTCATTTTTTTTTTTCATAATAACTATCAGGGCTAATTGTCAGCAACAGCTCAGCTTCGCTAGAGGAATGTTTCAAGTCATATTTCAATCCGCTTTCAAGATTGTACGATGCTAGAAACCAGGATATAAACAATTAAGATAGCAAGGAAGCAGCTTTGAGGTTTGGATTTTAAACCGTTCACTCTCAAGTCCTAACCCAAACGAACTTTCACAGAGAACAGAGAGTAACATCAGGGAACTAAAGCCAAGGCTGGTTTTGATATACATAATACTACTTTATTCCATTGTTTCAACTTTCTTACAGGTTTTTGTTTTTTTTTTTAATAAATAAAAGTACAGGGGTTCAGAACCACCTCAACAGAACAAAGAATACATGATTAAGGGAGTTGTAGAGTCAAACCACAAGTGTGCAAGCGTGGTTAGCTTCCGTTACCAAAAGTAATAGGCACGATGATCTTTACATACGCGTTTTGGTGAAAGAAGGAATAATAGTGCAGTGTTAAAAGGCACCAATAATAAATAATTGTGCCTTTTTAAAAAGCCAATAACCATCTAAGAAAATTACATTTGGTTCAAAATAATACTTTAAATATCTTATTGACTGGCATGCATCTGAACCCCTGGCAATTTATTACACAGACCTAATGTGCGCCCTTGCAAAATAAAAAAGATTTCATCAGTGGCCCTGAAAATCAGTTCAGTACAAAAAGAAATACTGAAGCTCTTTGCCTGTATTTAATACTACACTGTCTTGTTCGCCTCCTCTGAGAACACTTGTCTAGCAAACAGCTATTCCACAACTGCACAGAAGTAATTTCTCTTAAAGCAAATGTAATTTTTTAATCCTGTAGCACTGACCTATTCCATGTGCTATGAAAACATTAGGCACAGACCACAATTTACATTTTCTCTAAAAAAAAAAAAAAAATATATATATATATAAAAATACAGTATGTGCAAGCTAGGTTGACACAGCAGATTGACAGCTACCACAGTCAGCGATGTAGACTTCCCAAAGAAAAGGGTTAGTTGGAATTTTCTAAGCAGTGATGCACACTGCTGTGTGTGATTATCATATCAGCATCAGGATTATCTGTGTAGCCAATAAAGGAAAAGCTTTAGTAGACCCTAAAGGACACTACATCAATACCGGGTGCTAATTTAACAGGATCAAGTGAATGACAGATTGAAGAAGTCACCGTACACCGGCAGCTGCAGTTACCCAGCCAGCCAGCAAGGGCTATTGCTTTCTGCGGGATGAATGGGTGGAAACTCAAGTTTACCTCATAGGTGCCCTCAAACTAAACCACGTGGACCTGATGGAATCTATGGATGCAGAGCATGGGATTGAAAAAAAAAAAGGAGATGTGAGAGGGAGAGCTTCTGTGAAAGTTGTACCAAAATGTGCCGTTTTAGCCAAAAGCGTCATGCCCAGTGCAGGTTTTATGCATTGAGGATTGTTTGTACAACTGAAAATTGTACAAGGTGTGAGCAGAGACAGAGCTGATCGATAATCTGCAATATCTACTAGAGTCCTCAGGTATATAATTGACGGATAGCCACTTACTGAGTTGTTGATTGTTTCCTCTTAAATATATTTAAATTCAGAAGGCTACAGTATATTCTGACACAAAGACAGTGAGACAATTTTTCTACAAGGGGGAAAATATAAGGTAGTAACTAACTTATTTATTTGATGAGGAACCTCCTCTGATGTGGAAGTTGTTTCATGCCCTTTGGAAGATTTTAAGTTCTGACTTTCTCCATCATCTCTGTCGAATTGCTCTCCTCACAATGCCCCAAGAGCTAGATTCAAGTTCAGCGACCCCTCTTACAGCAGCTTTTCCCCTTTTCCGCAATCGCTTTTGAACTCACTCTAACAATCACAGCAAGCTAGTCAAGTAAACATTTCTCTTCTGGCAAGTTTCCAGATACAGCAAATACTATCAAAAACTCCGCGTTTGATTACATGCGTCAGTTGTCATTAAATGGAGCAGGAATTAGCCCGTTTTCTCGGTTTAGGGTCCTTTACATCCCTGTCTTTTAAACACATACAAGAGGAACATATTGTCTCTGACAGTCTCCGCAGTCCCCGCCTGAAAACGCTGTTGGAGAGGCTATAGATCACACAGTTGCAGAAACTATTGCTTATAGCAAGCCATGTCGTTAAGAAGGAAAGCGCTGGGTTTTCCAACACCCTAGAGCTCTCCAGCAGAAAGTATATGATATAGGGGAGCCACAGCATGTAGAACACACTGGTTATCCGAAACAAAACCATGGCATAGCGGCGATCCGGGTTGTGCCCAGTCTCCCCAGCAGCATCCACTTCGTGGCTAGGAAATCGAGCTCTCCGATCGTTTATCTCTTTGGTGTGCTGCCGGCAAATTTTAAAGATGTGGAAATAGGTGAAACATATGACAAAGGCAGCGGGAGCGTACAGTAAGCACACGATAAAGCCAGTAAAATAGGCGTTAGTTAGCCAGGAGGTAGCACACCATTCAAAAATATCTCCATGGTAACCAGGTTTTCCCCAACCAAAAAAGGAAGGCAAGAAGATCAGACAAGAGTATATCCAGATCAAAATGATGCAGATTCTCAAGCGACAAGGTGTGACCAGTTGGTTATAGGAGAGAGGCTTTGTTATAGCGAGATAGCGATCCACGCTGATACAAGCAAGACATGCCATAGACACGCTTTTCAGCACAGAGATGATATATCCAAAAACTTGACAAGTCAAGGACTCGTGGACACCTGTCGAGTAGTGGAGCAGTGACAAAGTAGGAACCAAGCAGCTAACTCCAACAAAGAGATCAGCATAGGCCATGGTCTGAATAAAATAGCTGGTGGTATAATGATGCAGAAGTGGAGCACAGTGAAAAACAAATATCACAGTTAAGTTACCCGCAATAATTAAAAACGTTAGCAAGACAATAATGACTGTCTCAAGGATACAGATGTCAACTGCATTGTAGTGACCAAATCCAAGAGGGCAGGAGAGATGCTCAGATAGGTTCATACCACTACTGCTCATATTCAGAGTCCTCCATTCAATCCATCGGGACTGGTTCATGTTTTGTGATTCGGGAACGCTGCAATCTGAGCCTTAGCGAGCAGATGATCTGCTTAACAGCAGCTAAACTCTGCTTCAGCGTCTCCCGATCTCTCTTTGTAGACACTGCCAGTGCTTACATTTGAGAGGATTACAGTCCCATAGCTGTTGATGCCTCCTCAGCATCAGTGCATCACCTCTGGCACACCTTAGCTTTAAGGAAAAAAAGAAAGAGAGAAAGAGAGAAAGAGAGAAAGAGAGAAAGAGAGAAAGAGAGAAAGAGAGAAAGAGAGAAAGAGAGAAAGAGAGAAAGAGAGAAAGAGAGAAAGAGAGAAAGAGAGAAAGAGAGAAAGAGAGAAAGAGAGAAAGAGAGAAAGAGAGAAAGAGAGAAAGAGAGAAAGAGAGAAAGAGAGAAAGAGAGAAAGAGAGAAAGAGAGAAAGAGAGAAAGAGAGAAAGAGAGAAAGAGAGAAAGAGAGAAAGAGAAAAAAAAAAAAAAAAAAAAAAAAAAAAAAAAACCAAAAAAAAAAAAAAAAAAAAGCCAGAAAGAGAAAGGCCACTGATCAGCTCCTCCAGTGCTCTTGACCAATCTTTAGCAAACACAAGGCACTTCTAAAACAAACAGGTACTGTGAAATACGGAAATAAAAACTGACAAAAAAAGAGACACATTCATTTCCCAGGGAGGGAATGTGGAGGGGGAATCTCTGACTGATTTTTTTCCTGAGAAAGTAATTTACTTTGGAATATAATGGGGTGAGGGGGAGGAAGGGAAGGAGGAACCTCAGTTCAGCTCAGGTTCCTTGGACCAGCAGTTACTGGAGATAATCTTTTCAATGTCTCAACTTAAATCACAGGCTGACTGGAGAGTAAAGGAAAAAGTTCATCCTCTAATGCTGTTTTTTCTGGCTCCATTCAGGAGATGGTACTAACTACATCTTATCCATGCTATTCATTGGAAAGGTAAGGAAAACATTTTTGTCAAGGTTAATTCCAATAGACTCACCACTGTTTGGATATGAATAATGAATTTTATTTGGAGGGAGACCAGTAGGGGACAAGGCAGATTTGTCCTCTGACTCCCAAGAAAGAAAACATACATCTCACATACAACGAGGAAGATCGTGTCTATTCATTTAAAACTGAAAATAATTTAAGAATGTGGAGACTTATGTCAATATTCACAATTCCTTCAAACAGTTATAGTCCATTACAATTATTAATGCCAGAAGCATAATTCAAGGTCCCCACAGACAAAATAAATCCTCTTGAATTTAATTTCAGCCACGGTAATTTAAAATAATCATCTTTGGAAACTCTGCCGTATCTGCTACGGTGGATCAGTACCCAGGAGTTCATAGGTATATCCATGATATTGCTCACCTCTGTAGCAACACCTGAATCATTTCACAAACCCCCATACAATGAGAACAGAAACTTCCATCTGCATTCTGCTGCGAAGCTAATGAAATGCTGATTTGACTAGAAAAGCTGCCATTGTTTACTACTCCATCGTTCTGTTCTTCAGCTTCTACGTAGGTTCAGGGTTTCTATATTTATTAGACGATCAGCATAATAAGGAGTTGCTTTAAAAAACCAGTTCTTTGAATTACAGGACATTACCTTGTGCATTTCGTTCGCAGTTATGGAGAAAGCAAATGGTAAAAGAAAGCATCTTCTGTGTTCGGTTTTAAGCAAATGCTTGATTAGTTCAGGAATCATTAGGCAGGTAATTAATTGTATACAATCTTGCTTTTTGAAAGGCCCCTAAAGTGTTAAAACCATTTTCAGTCCTAGAGTTCCTGAGACTAGAAGACTGGCAGTGAAAATTAATGAATCTACATAAAGTGATCTCCAAGGTCATTCAGATATTATGCTGGCAATTTACTTTAAGTCTCTTTAAAAGTACCAGAATCTCTCTAATCTTTTTGATAGTCCTTGCTGTGCCTTCAGGAGGAATTTCAGATACCGGGAAAGAAAAATTGTCAATTCTGTTGCAGCAGTTTGAGAGAAAGCATTCTTTTTGGAGTTAATTTCCTGTCGCGCATCGCCAGGCTGTACAGAAAGTCCTTTGGATTCTATAAGATATTCCGGCTATTCACCCCCTTGTCTCTCAGCCCTGGAGCACGGACACGATGCCTACTTCCTCCAGCTCCTGGAGAAAGCAATAGAGCGGAGTCTCTCACCTAGGCGCATTTTTTTCCAGCCGCTGCGCTCAGCTGCCTGCCAGGGGAGTCCTGCTGGCGGTGGCGCGGCTGGAGCTTCTGCCGCTCCTTCTCTGCTTCCCCCTGAAATGACGGCTCGCACCTGCGGCCGCTCCTCCTCCTCCTCCTCCTCCTCCTCCTC